ATAGTTCATATTAAAATCTCTAAAAGGTCTTATATGTAGGAATGGAGGGAGTAAAAAGCAATGAAATATGATGCTTCGGAAAGCTAGTGCTTACAATGATACAGAAGAATGTGCTGGGCATACAAGCAATCAAAGTCCGGTTCGTTTGTGGGCACAAACTAGATTTTGTTCTAGCGGAGGCATGCTAAAAGAGATCCGGTATAGGGTCTACAAAGAGCTGGCCATTTTTGAAAAAGTTGTGCTAAAGACGAAAAAGGATGCAATATAAAATAAATCAGTCAATAACATAAAGAACCACAAGTCTACTTATTCAAAAATGAGAGACAGGGCAGCTAGCCAAGGAATCATGTAGGGCATGGCATGGGTCTCTTTGAGGAACCAATTAAGAAGGCATGCAGCCATGCATGCAAAGATCCCAAGGCAATGGAGAGAGAGGAACATGGGTCCTTCCAAAAGGGAATGATCTTTTCTGAGAGAGAGAGAGAGAGAGAGAGCCAGCACAGCAAGTAGAAGAGAGGGAGAGGGGCAAGGAGAGAGACAGAGAGATTAAGGGGAGCAAGTTGGCCACCAAAAGTGGTGGCCTGGTTTTGAGAAATCCCATGATTTTGTTTGAGGGGACAGGGGGCAGGGATTAGGGTGGCATTGATGCATGGGATCATGCCATGCCTTCCTAAAGACAGCTTACCACAATATATGGAGCATGAGACACAGAAAACAAGAACACAAGCCCCCTTCTCCCTGGGCAGGAGAGGAGACACAACATCTTATTTTTGCTACGGCATATTAGAAAAAACACTAGGTTTGTTAGCATCTTATAAAAAAACTGCCTACATATATAATTTGTTAGACTGTTGCAAGTTGCAACACACCACAGGAGTGATCATTACTACCACATAAACAACATAACAAAAATAACGGACACTAGTTTATGGTTAGTGCTGGGCAAAGCACGCATGATTAGTTATAAATACAAACAACGGCATCAAGCACCAACATTCAAGTCAAATGTAAGATTATATATAGAATGAGGCCGTGCAAGTGAGCTATAGAGCTACAAGATCCTCCTCCTGATCTCCACGCCCAAGAAATTAACTATACAAATGAATAAAGTTTTCCTTTTCATAGAATAAAATAATTGGTGGTCGCAAAAAAGTTCATGGTGCATGGATCCATTTTGCAAGATCACACATCTCACTTAAATAACATGGTAATGTGTGGTGAACAGAAGCAATAGCAACAAATCCGCAAAATCCAAATTAACAAATATATACTGGTGCATTAGGTCCAACAATCATAATCTCCCTAAAGCTTTACTCCAACACGAACTAAGCAAGAAATGAACAACCTAGAAAGAGGAAAAATAGATGAAATTGGTACTTTTACGTTGTAGCAGCCTCACAAGTTTTGACACCTCTAATCCAATGCGATCCACGTGCATTTCTAAGCTTTCCGATCTTAAATCAACAGTAAATAACCAACCAACCGGGCAGCCAATGAAAAATTAACATCATGCTGATAGCTAGCTAGGGTTAGGGTTTCTTCCTCTTGGCACATTTAATCCAACTAGCTCCTCCTCCAACCAAAATCACCATGAAATCTTACTAATTAAGCAGACAATATTATTGCACCAGTGCAGATCATGTTCATATATATAAGCTCTATATAGAAGGCAGTGAGCAAGCAAACCCTAGGTCACCGTCGTCGACTGTTCGTAGTCGCCGGTATGCATGCATGCACAGAGTAGAAGGCGCGCGCGCCAAAGGCACCTACTGCCACGCCGACACTGACAGCAGCGGCCGCGTCTGCCACCCGAGGAAGCACGCGCCGCGGGACTCCTGCACCAGGTATCCCTCCGACGGGTAGTGCAGCCGCAGCAGTAGCCGTGCCTGCGAAACGGCGAACGCGCTGAGCGGCCGCGCGGCGAACCCAGTGCCGCGTGCGGCGGTAGCCCACCGCTCGAGCCCGCGCCACCACCTCCCGCCTGCGCCCCCCACCGCGGCCTCGATCTCCCTGCCGAGGACCTCCTGCTCCACCGCCAGCCTCTCCCGGCTCCCCGGCGGCACCGTCGCCTCAAGCGCCTCGAACACCGCCGAATAGTGATCCATGGCCACGCCAACACGGCGCGGGAGCTCGTCGATGGGGTCGATCCCTCCTCCGCTCGCCTCCCTTTCGGCAACGGTCACCACGGCGGGGGCCATGGCCTTCACCCACTTCAGGAACGCTGCGAGCTCGTCCTGCCCGCCGAGCTTGTGCAAGAACAGCACGCAGTTCACGGCCAGCGTCTCGTCGGGATGTAGCTCCAGGCTCGAGACAGCGGTGCTTGGGGTGGTGCTCGTGCCGGCGACGTGGTGCGTGCTGGCGGCGCAGGAGAGGAGGAGCGGGGTGAAGTGGAAAGGGAGGTGGATCGAGCGGGCGAAAGCGCGTAGCCGGTTGCCTGTACGAAGGAGTGTGTCGCGGTCGGCGCCAGCGCCGGTGATGCGGACCTCGGGCGGGCCGAGCGCCGGGTCGGCTCGTTCGGCGATCGCCTGGAGGAGTGGCGGCCACTGCACGCCGTGCGCCGCGTCGAGATCGAGGATGTGGACGCGGCGCGAACCCTCCACTGCCTCGAGGATGGCCTGGTTGGCCGTCAGGTGGGCGAACCGCAGGAACGGCGCGATCTGGTTGAACGCCAGGTACGCCCCGGACGGTGCCGGCGCTGTCCCAGCAGGTGGCCGCGGGGAGAACGGCAGCCCGGCCTTGGAGTCCACGCGGAGCACGAGCGCGCGCGCGAAGTGGTACGCGAGGCGGTCGGTGGCGTCGCCGCGCGGGGACGCCGCGGAGAGGAGGATCTCGGCAGCTCGGCGCGCGGCGGCGAGGTCCCCGCGCTGCAGCAGGTCGGCGCAGGCCAGCACGAGGTCCCGCGTGGACGGGGCCGCCGCGAGCGCACGCCCGCCGCCGCCCAGCAAGGCAGCGTCGCGCTCGCCCTCGCCGCTGCTGTTCCTGAGGTCGGCGTTGCTGTTGTTGTTGTCGGTGTCGGAGGACGAGGAAGAGTGGAGTGAGCCGATCATGTCTTCTTCTTCGCTCGCGGCGCCCTGGGACTAGGAGCGTCGTGAGCGGCCGGAGGTGGAGGAGAAGACGGAGACGGAGACGGAGCATGAGGGCGCGCATCTCTGGGGGGGTTTAATAGGGACGATGAGGGCGCACGTCCAGCAGCATCTGGGCTCGCAGCTTCCTTGACAGGACATCATCTGCCAAAAATACACAAGTATGCTGCTGCTGCTAGCTAGCTTGTGCGAGTGAGTGAGAGGGGAGAACCCAGGAGCACCATCACCAGCAACCAGCTACGCTACTACAAATAATGTCAGTCATAGCCTACTAGATGCACTGTGCAAACTCACAGATGAGAGAGGGAGGGAGAGTAGGTATTTTGCTCGGCACCAGTAGTACTGCTTTCTCTCTCCTCACAACCCCTCTCTCTCTCTCTCTAACTATGTAGAGGGGGAAGGGGAAAGGTGGTGGCGAGGGTGGCGTTGTCTTTTATCTCCTGGACTGTGACGAGGATGATTTGGGTGGGCTAAAGCGCGAGGGGAATCTGAAACATTCCAAGGAATGGTGGGCTCATGGACGAGGTTCATACGCCAGAGCTTAGCTTCTACGACTAGTTACTGCATCTAGAAATACTTATTAATCAGTGGCAGCTTTAGATCGGATAGATAGATGAATGGACACCTGCGTGTAGTAGGGGGCTATTGCTAGCTTAGGGCGAATTGGATTTTGTGGTAGCTTAGTGGTGATCATTGGATATATGTATGTTGTCTCAAATGTTTTTGAGGTGATTCTCTTTCTATATACAAGTAAAACTTGCATCTATCATATCTTACCACAGAATCTGTTAAGTCTCGCTAAGCTTTTGACGGTTTAAAAGTTATCAAAAAAATATGAAATAAATAGTGGAGAATCACTCTAATGTCTAAGATGATATAATGGAGGGATTATGAAAATATGCATTTATGAGTCTTCGGCAAAAGAAAAACTTTTCAGCTCACCGCGGCATAAATATATATTGAACTATTTGTCTTTTTATTCACGACATATACAGTCATATTTTTTGAATCGCTCTGTTGGATCATATTATATTACAGGTGTGTTGTTCCGGTATTTTTTTTCCAGGATTTCTGGGAATTTTAATACCGCCTAAAACCTTAACTTGCTCTGTGGTAAGCTATGATAGAAAATTTTGATGCACGTGCTTGGTTGAGGTCGGGGGAACATACGCACATTAGCCTTAATTTTCACTAGAGGCTAACGCGTGCTTGGCCGCGCTGTTGCTCGCGGGGTGACGAGGACACATACTAGGGATAGGGTCACAGGCCTAGCCTAAAGACCCCACCCAAGGACACCATGCACTGCGTATTGGGCCCCTCGATCAAGTAACCGATCATAAGTACTGCAACCTGAGGATCACTCGGAAGATAGCAACCACTCGGAGTCTAGCAGTCCACTCGACCGGTTCATCTCACTTGGAGTACCTGACTCCACTCGGATAGAGAAGACCAGGAGCCTCCTTGAGACTGCAACAGCCAGGACGTGCGTTCACCCCCATCAAATGTAGTTAATGCCGACATTACCAGTAATTGTCGCCCTTAAGACCTTCCTTTAACCCTTAGTTATGGAGGCAATCATCAGGGGTTCGGCGCACTCTATATAAGCACCCCTGGCTACATATCAAGGGTTTGCAATCTCTTGTAATCCATACACTCCAGTCAATCAAGCTCCTGAGCACAGCGACGTAGGGCTATTACCTCCTCCGCGAGGGGCCCGAACTCGTAAATCCAAGTGTAACAGCTGCATCGTAGCTAGACTCCGGCCTCTAATTCGTAACCCCATACACTATTGTCAGACTTGCACCCATGACAGTTGGTGTTGGGGAATGTAGTAATTTCAAAAAAAATCCTACGCACACGCAAGATCATGGTGATGCATATCAACGAGAGGGGAGAGTGTCGTCTACGTACCCTCATAGACCGCAAGCGGAAGCGTTATGACAACGCGGTTGATGTAGTCATACATCTTCACGACCGACTGATCCTTAGTACCGAACTTACGGCACCTCCGCGTTCAGCACACGTTCAGCTCGGTGACGTCCCGTGAACTAACGATCCAGTAGAGCTTCCGGGAAAAGCTTCGTCAGCACGACGGCGTGGTGACGGTGTTGATGAAGCTACCGACGCAGGGCTTCGCCTAAGCACCGCTATGATATGACCGAGGTGGATTATGGTGGAGGGGGGCACCGCACACGGCTAAAAGATCAATGATCAATTGTTGTGTCTCCAAGGGGTGCCCCCCTCCCCGTATATAAAGGACTGGAGGAGGGGGAGGGGGCCGGCCTCCTATGGCGCGCCCCATGAGGAGTCCTACTCCCACCGGGAGTAGGACTCCCCCTTCCAAGTAGGAGTAGGAGTAGGAGAGGAAGGGAGAGAAGAACAGAAGGAAAGGGGCGCGCCGCCCCCCTCCTTGTCCAATTCGGACTAGAGGGGGAGGGGGCACGCGGCTGCCCTGGCTGCCCCTCCTCTTCTCCCACTAAGGCCCATTAGGCCCAATATACTCCCCAGGGGGTTTCGGTAACCCCCCGGTACTCAGGTATATGTCCGAAATCTCCCGAAACACTTCCGGTGCCCGAACATAGTCGTCCAATATATCGATCTTTACGTCTCGGCCATTTCGAGACTCCTCGTCATGTCCATGATTATATCCGGGACTCCGAACTACCTTCGGTACATCAAAACACAAAAACTCATAATACCGATCGTTACAGAACTTTAAGCGTGCGGACCCTACGGGTTCGAGAACTATGTAGACATGACCGAGACATGTCTCCGGTCAATAACCAATAGCGGAACCTGGATGCTCATATTGGTTCCTACATATTCTACAAAGATCTTTATCGGTCAAACCGAATAACAACATACGTTATTCCCTTTGTCATCGGTGTGTTACTTGCCCGAGATTCGATCGCCGGTATCTCAATACCTAGTTCAATCTCGTTACCGGCAAGTCTCTTTACTCGTTCCGTAATGCATCATCCCATAACTAACTTATTAGTCACATTGCTTGCAAGGCTTATAGTGATGTGCATTACCGAGAGGGACCAGAGATACCTCTCCGACAACCGGAGTGACAAATCCTATTCTCGATCTATGCCAACTCAACGAACACCATCGGAGACACCTGTAGAGCACCTTTATAATCACCCAGTTACGTTGTGACGTTTGGTAGCACACAAAGTGTTCTTCTGCTAATCGGGAGTTGCATAATCTTATAGTCATAGGAACATGTATAAGTCATGAAGAAAGCAATAGCAATATACTAAACAATCAAGTGCTAAGCTAACGGAATGGGTCATGTCAATCACAACATTCTCCTAATGATGCGATCCCATTGATCAAATGACAACTCATGTCTATGGCTAGGAAACTCAACCATCTTTGATCAATGAGCTAGTCAAGTAGAGGCATACTAGTGACACTATGTTTGTCTATGTATTCACACATGTATTATGTTTCCGGTTAATACAATTCTAGCATGAATAATAAACATTTATCATGATATGAGGAAATAAATAATAACTTTATTATTGCCTCTAGGGCATATTTCCTTCAGTCTCCCACTTGCACTAGAATCAATAATCTAGATTACACAGTAATGATTCTAACACCCATGGAGTCTTGGTGCTGATCATGTTTTGCTCGTGGAAGAGGCTTAGTCAACGGGTCTGTAATATTCAGATCCGTATGTATCTTGCAAATCTCTATGTCTCCCACCTGGACTTGATCCCAGATGGAATTGAAGCGTCTCTTGATGTGCTTGGTTCTTTTGTGAAATCTGGATTCCTTTGCCAAGGCAATGCACCAGTATTGTCACAAAAGATTTTCATTAGACCCAATGCACTAGGTATGACACCTAGATTGGATATGAACTGCTTCATCCAAATTCCTTCATTTGCTTCTTCCGAAGCAGCTATGTACTCCGCTTCACACGTAGATCCCGCCACAACGCTTTGTTTAGAACTGCTCCAACTAACAGCTCCACCGTTCAATATAAATACGTATCCGGTTTGCGATTTAGAATCGTCCGGATCAGTGTCAAAGCTTGCGTCGACGTAACCATTTACGACGAGCTCTTTGTCACCTCCATAAACGAGAAACATATCCTTAGTCCTTTTCAGGTATTTCAGGATGTTCTTGACCGTTGTCCAGTGATCCACTCCTGGATCACTTTGGTACCTCCCTGCTAAACTAATAGCAAGGCACACATCAGGTCTGGTACACAACATTGCATACATGATAGAGCCTATGGCTGAAGAATAGGGAACACTTTTCATTTTCTCTCTATCTTCTGTAGTGGTTGGGCATTGAGTCTTACTCAACTTCAAGCAAGAACCCTTTCTTTTCTTGATCCATTTTGAACTTCTTCAAAACTTTATCAAGGTATGTGCTTTCTGAGAGTCCAATTAAGCATCTTGATCTATCTCTATAGATTTTGATGCCCAATATATAAGCAGCTTCTCCAAGGTCTTTCATTGAAAAACTCTTATTCAAGTATCCTTTTATGCTATGCAGAAATTCTATATCATTTCCAATCACCAATATGCCATCCACATATAATATTAGAAATGCTACAGAGCTCCCACTCACTTTCTTGTAAATACTGGCTTCTCCAAAACTCTGTATAAAACCATATGCTTTGATCACACTATCAAAACATTTATTCCAACTCTGAGAGGCTTGCACCAGTCCATAAATGGATCGCTGGAGCTTGCACACTTTATTAGCACCCTTTGGATCGACAAAACCTTCAGGTTGCATCATATACAACTCTTCTTCTAGAAATCCATTCAGGAATGCAGTTTTGACATCCATTTGCCAAATTTCATAATCATAAAATGTGGCAATTGCTAACATGATTCAGACAGACTTAAGCATCACTACGGGTGAGAAAGTCTCATCGTAGTCAACCCCTTGAACTTGTCGAAAGCCTTTCGCAACAAGCCGAGCTTTGTAGACAGTAA